CCCTCTCCCACCCATTTTTTAACGTTCGAAAGGCAGCTTTAATCAAATTTGTTCAATTTTAGTTTTCGTAAGTTTCAAATGTTTGATAAATTCATACGGCCACGAAACATTCAAAGTCAACTGCGTGAGAAAAAACCAAGTAAGTCTTGCCTTTTGCCACCCATTTCCAGTGTCGTTGGCGTCAAATGTTCGGCAGCGGCGCGCAGTACAACCTTGCCAATCTTCGTTGATCCAGTAAAGAAAATATGATCGAAGCGGTATTTCAGCAATTTACTGCAAACACAGTTGTTCTATGGATGAATGCTGCCAACTGCGAACTGCAACCGCAGCTTTTTCCGTCAACAGATGAATGCAGTAGATGCTCACACACCGAAAAGAGCTTTTACTGATATTAGCCATCCATCCACTAGCAAGTATAGAACGAGAAGATAACAACCCTCTCGCTTTTGCCCATACAATGTACTAAAATTACCTGGATGGGACGTCGTCGAGAACGGGGCGAAAATCAAAATTCAGAAAAAGGAATGGGAAATAAAAACTAAGGGACAACAACTGGTTTCAAAATCAGTCGTAAGGTGTTAAAATAATTTAAAAACGACATAGATCTAAAAAAAAAATAAATTTAATACTAGTGCTTTAAAAAGTGCCAGGACTCAGTACAGGATTTTACAAATGGATCATCGGAATAAGAAAAGCCCTGTTTCAAGTCAGGAAGCGCTAAAATTACTTCAGCATTCCAAGCAATCGATCATGGAAATAAAATTAAAAACGCTTCGCTAGCCTGGAGCAGAAACAGGTACCGACACAATACCACGTTAAACAATGAGTGCAATTTTTACAACACGAGGAAACAATATATTTTTCAGAGAATCTAACTAACAAAAGTTTCTAGTGAGTCCTCAAAAAGTTTTCGTTTTCTAGCATCTTCTATATTAAAGCACAATATTCAAATAGAAAGGTCTTGCATAACTGCGCTCGGCATTGTAGCAGCATCCCAGTAACGTCACTAACATGGAATAAGTATAAAGATGTCAGACAATTCTAGCATTCAAGTCTCAAAACGTTTGGCTGAACCACTTTCCGGCGTCAAAACCCTACTAAAAAACGAGCAGTATTCTCAGTCCATAAATTTCGTCAGGAAACTGAAAAATGATTACTTCGTTTCATCGAAGCTCCCGCCAATGGCGCAGCACACCTTTGGATCCATATATTTGGCAATCAATTTACACATAACTGTTTCTGTATTCTTCGCAATTTCA